AAGATAGTTTGCTTTGCATAGTCAAAACAAATCATCCAGACCATACCAAACTGTCTGGATGCGCACAGTAACTCATCTCATCTCAGAAGTTAAACATGGTCAGGTCTGGCTAGTATTTGGATGAAAAATAAATAAAATATTATGTTTATTACATGCACATATAAACGCACTATACAGTTTTCTTTTTACCCTGAACAGAAAGCTCCAAAACTAACTACAAATGGTCTTCAAGTTATACTATGAAACTATTTTTCAATACTAGTTAAAGGAATATTAATCATTTTTTCTTTTTAGTGTTTTTCTTTTTTCATTTTTTTTTTTTTTTTTTTTTTTTTTTTTGCTGTTTTGGGCCAGATCCTGCTACACTCATCCCTGGATCCACATGCAGTGAGGGTAAGCCAGAGGAGTATAGTGGGTAGACCATATGCAAGAAACGTGTCCTTTCAAACTTAATGGTCAACTAATATAAATGTACTTTTGAATTAAGAATCAAGTTCAAAATATTTTAAAATAATTTAAAACAAAATTACTTCAAGGCAAGCAGAAATATAAGATCAAATTCAAGTCAAAATCAATATGGAGGGGGCCACAGTGGGTAGGGCGTTTGCCTTGCACGCAGCCAACCCAGGTTCGATTCCCAGCATCCCATATGGTCCCCTAAGCACTGCCAGGAGTAATTCCTGAGTGCAGAGCCAGAAGAAACACCTGTGCATTGTCGGTTGTGACCCAAAAAGAAAAAAAAATCAATATGGAAAACAATTTTAGGAATTAAAAAATGTATGTAAAAAAAAGTATGTAAAAAATGTAAAAAAAAAAAACCATGCTATTTAACCTCTACCTCCAAACCTATACTCTCAGAGTTCAGATTCACCTAAAATAGTCCTTTTGGGAAAAAATTAACATTTATTGTATGTCTGAGATTAAGTTAAGTACTTCAGTTACATAAAGGACCCACATCTTTTAAAAGCAGACTAAAAATCTAACTTTAATATGAAAGCTAAATTTAATTTTCAGTAACTCTTTCAATGTCATACCATTAGACTAACATCACAAATTTATTCATCTAATTTACACCCTAAAGTTGATGTATTAAATAGCACTGTAGCACTGTCTTCCCATTGTTCATCCATTTGCTCGAGTGGGCACCAGTAACATCTCACAAATTGTGAGACTTGTTGTTACTGTTTTTTGGCATATTGAATACGTCACGGGTAGCTTGCCAGGCTTTGCCGCACAGGCGAGATACTCTCGGTAGCTTAATAAACAAACACTAAATCCCTTCTCTCCTCTTCAGGAATCTTTTATACTGCAATACTACCAAGCTATTCTGACTGCTGCCTGTTTTAAAAATCCCCAGATACTGCTTCCAGAGGCCAAAGAGAGAACTCAATGGGCTGAGAACATTCTTCGCATGCAGGAGGCCTAGCTCCAATTCCTATCACCACATGGTCCTCTGAGCACAGCTGAGGGAAATCCCTAAGCAGAGTCAGAAGCCTCTGAGCACCACAGGTTGTGGCTTCCCAAAAAGTAAACAAATACAAGTCACTATTACATTCTCCTAGCCTAATGATAGGTCATTCATTTCAGCAAAGAGCAAGAAGAAATAGTACAAGAATAAAAATACCCAAACCAAAAAGAAAATGTATGTATATCAAGTAAATCCAGAAACATCAGACCAACTGCACACCAACTTCTCTGACTCCCAAGACCACATTCTATAGAAATTTTGTATTTCTGTGCTCAGCACCAAAAAAAAAAAGAAAGAAAGAAAGAAAGAAAGAAAGAAAGAAAGAAAGAAAGAAAAAGAAAAAGGTTTCAGCAGCAATGCTCTTTTTACTTGGTAGCCATTGCAGAGTGTACGTGAGCCCAGTTGGCAGTACTGGGACAGCTCTGTGTCAAAAGACATTCTACACACATACACACACACACACACACATACACACACACACACACACACAAAGAACACATTCTACTCTAGATAAAACCAACTTTGAAAAAAAAAAGTCAGGGACTGAAAGAATTGTGGTGACAACTAATCTCACCCAAGGGTCACAACCCACCACTAAAGGAAGAATGTCTGGGAACTAAGGGCAACAAGCTCCTTTCTTAAGCATCAGTACTATATAACCTATATATATTTAGCAAAGCCAAGTTAGAATTTTAAAAGTAAATAAATCCTTCCCTTTGTTAAAGGGCCTCACACAGAAATCAATCTAGCCAAGAATGTTTACGTTACAAATGTTATTTAGTCCCACAAGGCCTAAGGCAAGTTAATCAAAATAAAAATTACAGAACTTCCCCCCTGCACAAATCAAGTCCATAACAAGTGAATTAGAGAAATCAATTTCAAAAGGAAAACTAGAAAACAGTAGACAATTAACAAAGAGGTTTGTCAGACATTTTTACGAAATCATTTCAAGCTAAAATAATTATGAAACAGATATGAAACTATTTTAAAATTACAAGGAAAGAAAGCCAACATAGAAAATGGGATAGGAGAAAGGAAGGGTTTTCCCAGCTGCTTTAAAGAAGACCCAAGGGCCAGGGATGTAGCTCAAGTATTAGAGCACAGGTTTGCCAGGGTGAAGCCCTGAACTGGATCTCTGAAACCACATGTCCAGCTTCAACACCGACAATATGACCGGAAGTAACCACCTCAACATGTGGCCCCCATAAAAATTATAAATGAACAAATAATAAAGATTGACAATATTTCCCATAGTAGAATCCCCAGGCAAATCCACTAAATTTCAACCCAATACTGCACTTAAAAAAAACGTAAATATGTGTAGTATATGTCCATTCATATTTATGCATTTATTTTAATATATAAATGAAGGCAAAAGAATTTTAACCAGGAATATATGCCTATGTATAATATCACAAGACTATACTTGCAATCAAAGCTATTGAGATGAATAGTTCTAGAAGGGATCAAATAATTCCTGCATTTACAAAAGGATTTGTTTCTTTATATGACAAAAACAACAACAAACAAGCAATTAATAGTATACAAAGATTAACCATTGGATGGTAAAAAACTTCACGTCGGATACTTTTTATGGAATATAGAAAATAACCTTTTATGCCATTTTAAGATGATCAAGTCATAATTTTTGAGGTAATTAAAGAAAATACCAGATAGTATATGAAATAAAAATATTCTTCATAGAATCTTCTTTTATCAAAAAGGAAGTAAAGCTAATTTCTGAAGTAGAGACCTGAAAAAAGTAACTCTAACACAGAGAGTTCCACGAGGCTTTGTACTATAATCCTTTATGTTCTTAAAGCTTAAGAAAAAATTAGTCAAAGAGCCCGGCAAGCTACCGAGAGTATTCGATATGCCAGACACAGTAACAACAAAGTCTCCAGTGGAGACGTTACTGGGCCCGCTCGAGCAAATCGACGATCAACGGGAGGGCCTTTACCTTTTTTAGTTAAAGACTAGTGTTAAAAATGCTTTCATTCCTGAACTTTTACACGCAGCAAAGCAAAAGCGCATCTTCAATGATAAACTTTGTTTCTTCTCCACTGGAAAAACGACAGGATTACTTTTATCAGGTTTGTCATCAACAAGTTTCAAACTTCTCACTTGTAAAATATACCACGGACAAAATGAAAATGGAAAAAGGAAAAAGAATATCTGCATTCCTTCTGGAAGAGATTACTAGTATATCCTTTTTTTTTTTTTAAAGAATCAATAGATATCCTAGAGAAAATGACCAAGGCTAGCTGAAAGTGGAAACATGAAGTACACCTTCTTGCTTCACAGAATGATAAGAACCACAAGTGACTGGGGACCAGAGTAATAGTAAAATGAGTCAGGCAGCTTGCGTTGGATGCAGCCAACCCAGGTTTAATCCCCAGCACTCCATATGGTCTCCTGACATCCCCTCTGAGTTCTTATCCCGGAGCTAGGAGTAAGTCCGGAGCACCACCAGGTGTCCCCCTCCCCCCCAAAAAAATTAGGAAAAAAAAAAAGCTCAAATGACTCATTCAAAACCAAAAAACACTCCCCATGAACAAAGGAATTGTCTATTTATCATTAAAGGCCATATTACCATATTATAAGATATACTGAGAAACTTTAATGAAACCAATTTGACTTAAATTTCAAAAGACAAGTAGCATTGCAAATCATTGCTACTACAATATTCTTAATGACAAACGTGAATGTTTCTAGAGTTTCAAAGGCTTTAGAGATAAAAATACTAAAAGAAAACTCTAAGTACCTCTAACATATCTGTGTATGCATAGCTAGCTGTAAACAAATCCCTTTCTCTCCTAACCCATAGCACTTGCCAACATGCCTTTGTTCACTGATACCTACAAATATCAAACTAACAATTATAAAAATATTCATAAATTAATCATGACATATTGCTTACACAATTAACTATCAAAAGTAACTATATCAAAGGTGCAATTTAGCTCATTAAAGAAAGGGAATGTTTTAAAATCTCAGACTTCAAATTACATCAAGAAAAGTACTCAGAAAATGGAAAATCCTCAGGCTGCAGATGTGGCTCAAAGATAGAATTCTTGCCTTAACATGCACGAGGCCCTGGTTTTGATTCCTGGCACCACACGGGCTCCTGGGCACCTCTAGGGTCGTGGCATTCCCCTCTGAACACCCCTGGAAACAATCCCCACTGAGCACCTCGAGGAGCAATCCCCAAATACTAAGAGTGGAACTCTAAGTAGCTCCCAAGCACTGCCAGCTGTAGCTGGGGTACCAAACACAAAGGAAAACCTCTTTAAAGCCCAGACAGAAAACATCAAAGTTAATCAGCATTTACTGAACATCCACAGAGTAAAACAACAGACCAGTAAATAATTCACTGCTCTATTTAAAAAAAAAAAAAATTAAACTCCTCTTTAAGTCAGGAGTTGCCATAAAGAAGGACTTAAATGACAAGAAGCAATTAAGAGACTACACGAAGAGAAACCTGTGTTTGATAGAATACTTGTAATATTATCAGCCAAAATCCAAGACCTACTTGCTTCATGGCAGTCTCTCCAATTTTGTCTGAATGTTTGCGGATACTTTCCAGAAAGTCTTTGAGATCAGACATAGACACATCCTTAATCTCTTCTCGGAGCTTGGGGATGTTGTCCACCATCACCTTGCAGAATCGATAGTGGCTTACTTGAGGCAGATAGGTATGCTCGAGATGTTCCAGAGTCTTCAGGGCAGGGTAATGCCTATAAGAGAAATTATATCACCTTGAGCTCAATTCAGTTCTTCTTAAACTCACCAATCTATTACTTAGGCAAAGGGTCTAATCTAAATTAGTTTTCACTACAAAAAATAAATCTATTACTAAGTTTTAATTTAAAAATCAACATGAAAACGTTACAACATTAGAATTTTGATATTAATTAAGTAATTTATAATTAGTAAAGATTTTATCTCAAGAATCAGATAACTTTGAAAAATCTAACAATTCATTACATAAAGGACAACAGGGAGCACAAAAGTTTGTAAGTCTACAACTGTACCTCATGGTGTTTCACTAATAAAAAATATATATTAAATTAAAATATTAAGAATAAAAAAATAAATAAAGACAATACGATATACCCCATTAATTTATAAAAAAAAAAAAGAAGAAGAAGAACAGGGGAGTGGAAAAGATAGTATAGTAGGTATGGTGTTTGCCTTGCACACGGCAGACCCAGGCTCAATCCCAGGCATCCCATATAATACCCCTGAGTGCCACCAGGAATGATTCCTGAGTGTTGAACCAGAAGGAAACCCTGAGCAATGCCGGGTGTGACCCCAAAAACAAAACAAACAAAAAAAGAACAACAAGGGATATTCTTGATAACCTTTCAGTATCAATATTGCAAACTATAATACCCAAAAGGAGGGAGAGAGAGAGAGAGAGAGAGAGAGAGAGAGAGAGAGAGAGAGAAAGACAGAGAGAGACAGAGAGAGACAGAGAGTGAGAGAGAGAGAGAGAGAGAGACAGAAAGACAGAGAGAGACAGAGAGAGACAGAGAGTGAGAGAGAGACAGAGAGAGAGAGAGAGAGAGAGAGAGAGAGAAGCACCTGCCAAAGAGGCAGGCAAGGGGTGGGGAGTAATGGGAGGGAACTTGGGAATACTGGTGCCTGGAAATGTACACTGGTGGAGGGCTGCGTTTTGGAATACTATAAGACTGAAATTCAATCATGAATGGCTTTGTAATGCTCTAAAAATAATAATAATAATAATAATAGAAAAAATTTTAAAAGGACAGAAAAAAATCAAAATCACCTCAAAGTTGGAATAACCTTACTATAAAATGAAATACTCAAGGCTAGACAATGGGTACTTACCAGATCATCTAGCCAAAATAGAGAAATGAAAACTAAATAAAAATTATCCCAAACAGTTATTTCAAAGTTCTGGAAATTGACCAAAGGAAAACAACAAGTTGAGAAGTGTTTAACTCATGAAAACTCCTAACAGTGGGGACTCCATGGTGTCCTAAAGTAGGAATACTTCCATTACCCCCTCTTGATACGATTGGCCATGAAAATCGGCAGTTCCTTGCCTTTGGAGCTAGCATGACCAAGGGTCCTGGGTGCAGTTTCAGGAAGGAGTGTGCACGTTTTACAATGTCTGAGGTCATGGGTTCCACTCTTGGCACAGCAAGAAAAAAGGAAGCACCAAATAGAGCGGGTATTTTTAGTACAAGTAGAAATTCAGTTTTAAAAAAGAGAAGAAAAAGAAAAGTAAAATAAGGAACAGTCTTCAACTCAACTGGTCTCAAATTAGTTTGGATTGGGACAAATGGCAGAAGGTCTAGCCAGAAATTTAACAGGGAGGTCTGGAAAGATGAGGTCACTGCTGACAAGCTCTTTGCATTGACTGAGGCTGGGCACGCACACATGGGGCATGGGAAAGGGCCAGAACACTCCTCCACACATCCCTAGGTAACGCCTCCACACATCCACACATCCTTAGGCAACTAGGGGGCTGCAAGCACACACACACAGGAGGGCTGGCACAAAGCAGAAACTCAAATACACTTGAAAAGTAAACAAATTTTTAATGCGCTCCCTATACTACCCACAAATCCACTGAAAAAGCGGAACCTCATCAGTTCAGATTTGTATAAAGTCAACCAAACAACCAACCATTAGCTGATGTCCATCCCTTTAAAAATGAAATTAAAATACATTGCCACACAAAGATTAAAACAATCCTTATGGTAGATCTAACTTAAAAGAAATGCTAAAAGAAGCCAGAAAGAAAACATCAGCAGACAGTAACTTGACTTCACAGAAAAAATGAGGAGCATCAAAAATAGTAAATGCATGACAAATATAAAAAACTAAATAAACATATCATTCTGCCTTCTGTTAAAACGTAAGTAAGATTTCTGGTTTTACTACCATTGAAGTAACATAGTTACAATAGTATTAATGTTTATGCCTTTGACACACTAAAGCTACTGAGCCTCCATCACCAAAGTGCCAAATACCCTCTACCACTGACCTCAGGACACTTCTAGTCTTCACTTGCTCTCCAAATTCCCTCCCTCCAAACCTTTGTCAAAGTCCAAAGGTTTGTTTTCATTGGGCACAGTCAATTCCCTTGCTTTGTTTCTGAATATCATAGATGAGTGAGGTCATCCAGTATTTGTCCTTCTCCCTCAGAATTATTTCCCTTAGCAAGAGTCCCTCTAATTCTACCCAATTGGAGAAAAGGCCAAGATTTCATATTTACTTACATTTTTTCTCATATTTTCTTACATGGGCTGGAGCGATAGCACAGCGGTAGGGCGTTCGCCTTACAAGTGGCCAACATGGCCGACCCGAGTTCGATTCCTCCGCCCCTCTCGGAGAGCCCGGCAAGCTACCGAGAGTATCTCGCCCGCACGGCAGAGCCTGGCAAACTACCCGTGACGTATTCGATATGCCAAACACAGTAACAACAAGTCTCATGATGGAGACGTTACTGGGCCCGCTCAAGCAAATCGATGAACAACAGGAGGACAGTGACAGTGACAATGATTTTCTTACATAACTCCATTGTATATGTGGATCACAATTTCTTTATACACTTTTCTTTGGACGTTTGGGATGTTTCTGTATCCTATCAATTGTATTAACCAGGGAAGGGGAAGGAAGGGAAGGGAAAAGCCAGGGGAGGAGGAGGAAGGTAAGATCCAGCTATGTGATTTACAATAATAATAATAATAACAATAACAATAATAAAAACCTATTTCAGATTGAGAACAACAAATTGGTTAAAGTAAAATATTGACTAAAATATGCCCACTTATTATCTAGTTCTTACTCTGGAGAACCTGGCAGGCTACCGAAAGTATCCTGCCCACACGCAGAGTCTAGCAAACTCCCCATGGCGTATTCAATATGCCAAAAAACAGTAACATAATGGGTCTCATTCTCCTGACCCTGAAAGAGCCTCAAATGTGGCACTTTCTAAAATCTCAGGATTAGAATGAAGGAGACGTTACTGGTACCTGCTCGAGGAAATCAATGATCAACAGGATCACAGTGTGCCACAGTGTGTCATGCCCATCCACCCAAAAAAAAAAAAAAAGGTCAAACAGATAGCATGAGGATTAAGGGATGGCATTGTACTTGCCAGCCCTCGTTCAAATCCTGCCACCAATACAGTCCCCCAAGCACTACCTGGAGTGATCTCTGAGCACATAGTCAGAAATAAGTTTTGAGCACTGCCAGGTGTGCCAGGACCCCACTTCACACACACAAAGGAAAAACAAAATAGTTCAGGAATGGCTAAATTAATATCAGACAACCATTATTTTTGTAACACAAGCAGTCATTTTACATATAATAAAAGAGGGGTCACAGAGATAATACAGTGGTCAACAAGCAGCCAATCCCAGTTAAAACCCCAGTCCAATTCCCAGCATGCGTGTGCATCTTCAAGCAATACCATGAATTATCTCTGAGCACAGAAAAAAGAGTAAGCCATATGGGCTGGAGTGATAGCACAGCGGTTAGGGCGTTTGCCTTGCACGCGGCGGACCTGGGTTCAATTCCCAGCATCCCATATGGTTCCCCGAGCACTGCCAGGAGTAATTCCTGAGTGTAGAGCCAGGAGTAATCCCTGAGCATCGCCGGGTATGACCCAAAAAGCAAAAAAGAAAAAAAAGAAGAGAAAGCCATAAGTACTACGGGATGTGCTCTGCACCCAAAAAACTGTCACTGTCACTATACTCCCGTCGTTCATCGATTTTCTGGAGCAGGCCCAGTAACGTCTCCATCGTGAGACTTTGTTGTTATTGTGTTTGGCATATCGAATAAGTCACGGGTAGCTTGCCAGGCTTTGCCGTGCGGGCGAGATACTCTCTGTAGCTTGCCTGTAGCTTGCCGGGCTCTCTGAGAGGGGCGGAGGAATCGAAATCCAGTCGGCCATGTTGGTTGTGTGCAAGGCAAAGGCCCTACCCGCTGTGCAATCGCTCTAGCTCACCCAAAAAAATATCATAATAATAATGGTGATAATGACAAATAATTTTGTATCCAATAAATATCAAAGCTTCCATAATACTAAAATAACAAATAAAACTAAGATTGGCAAGGCTCAGTATGAAAAATAAGTTATGCATGAAAGCAACATAATTTTAAAAAGAAAAGAAGAAATAACCTGATAAAAAATTACACTGCACTGCACCATCCTTCCATTGTTCATCGAGGTGCTCGAGTGGGCCCAGTAACGTCTCTTTTGTGAGACTTGTTGTTACTGTGTTTGGCATATCAAATACGTCATGGGTAGCTTGCCAGGCTTTGCCGAGCAAGCGCGATACTCCGGTAGCTTGCCGGGCTCTCCGAGAGGGGCGGAGGAATCAGACCCAGCTAGGCCGGGCCGGCTGCGTGCAAGGCAAACATCCGGCCCCAATAAAAATTAAGCATAACTAATAGACATAGAAAGATTGCATTCATGGGGAACATAAAGTAACAAAATAGGAGACTAACACCCAAAAATGGCCAAGATTAGTACCAGGAATTTTACTCCATGGCTTGGAGGCCAACCACACATGCTAGGGGAAAAGGGAGCTCAGATAGAGAAGGGAACACCAAATAAAGGTGTTGGGAGGTTCCTCCCAGGATGGGAGAAGCATGCTGAAAGTAGACTATGGACTGAACATGATTGTCACCCATTGCCTCTTTTGCAAACCACAACACCCAATAAGAGAGAGAGAACAAAAGGGAATGCCCTGCC